AAGCCCCCAAAAACGCAGGGCAGAAGGTACAGCTCGCAAGAGCGTTTTAGCAATTTTGAGGAAAAATTAACGAAAAATGTTGCCGAAACTGTGGTTTCGCGCGCATGCAAGCTCAAAAAATCCGCAAGCAGAAAAATCATGTTTTTTTAAAAACACCATTTTGAGGTGCCCAACCCATAGACGTGAATCGCTCCGAAACGCAGGTTTTAAGCACGAAAAACATCAAAATATGGGGAATAACCCACGACAAAATAAAGCACCGTGGCCTACTACTACTACTACTACTGCTGCTACTACTACTACTACTACGACGGCGATTTTTATACTACTATTTTTACTACTGCTGCTGCTACTACTACTACTACTATTTTTACTACTACTACTGCTGCTGCTGCTGCTGCTGCTGCTGCTGCTGCTGCTTCTTACACGGCAACGGAATATTTTTTTTGATGCTTGCGCTTTGCCTTAATAAATGTAGTATAACATTTGTTTTGATGCTTAAAAAGTTATTTGATTCGCTGGGCGTAGGTTTTTTTGATGCTTATATAGTTTCTTGATCACTCACCCGGCAGAGGTGGTTGCGGAGTATTGTGGAGTCAACAATTCCTTCTTTGTTTCTTTGGATTTGTGCAGCAGAGCTTGACCTTGCGTGCAGCTGTGTGCAGGTTTTCCAAGTTTCGAGGCCGTCTGTGGAATCCGGGCGCAGTACACGCCGCACAGGAGGCCGAGCGAAAAGCGTGAGATTAACGATGCCATGTCTCGGGAACAAATCACATGCGACGAAGCTGTCATTGCCAGGAGTATCCTCCCACCGCTGCCACAAGCTTTCATCAGCTACCTGCCTTGGATGGGAGGAGGTCTACTAAAGTAACCTTAGATGACTTTCTGAGCTAAGTTTCTTGCTTCAAGCAGAGGTATGGCAAATGGTATCCGCCAGAGATGAAGGATCCGGATAGAAACTTCGGATATGAAGCTTGGCCATATGCACAGTGCCATGTGCTGGATTAGTTTTCAGGCTGAAGACAGGCTGACGGTGATTCTGACACAGCTAAGCTGAGGAAGTCTTGAAAAGAGAGCAGGCAGATGAGGGCTGGAAGAGTGCTGGAAGTCAGCGCGGGCAGACATGAAGAGCTATTCTCTGCCGCCAGGTGCCTTTGTGTGAGGACCTCCGCCCTGGTGTTCTGTACGAGGGCGCAGCTGGCCTTCACAGCGGGAGACGGAGGCGCAGAATGCAAGAGCTAAAGCAATGGACTCACTCAGGAAAAGTGCTTCTCGAAATGTGGGCTTCCTGGAGAAGAGGACTGGGCATGGCCATGCAATACGCAAGCCCCCAAATCATGTTTGCTGCCAGTTTTGCTGTGCAGGACTGCATGCCAAGGGTCATGACGCTCCCAGAGGATGGTGAGTACGAAGCGTGGCAAAAAACGTTGCAAGTACTTCCATTTGGCTTTGACTGCAGTTGCTTGTCTCCTCAGGCTTAGGGGCACCGGGCATGACAGATACTTATTATCCACAGCTGTCGCCCCCCTTGCACGGAAGCTGACTGTGGAAGTCCTGCTGCATTCCAGCCCGAGGAGATGGTAAAACATCCAGTCTGTACATCCCACGTGGAGTGTGCTACCGCCTCAGGCACATCAGCACTTGACCTCACGCTCCAGCACAGGATGGAGCTGTTGCTGATTGTACTAAATGAGGTTGGCGAGCCATCCCGGGTTCTGTGTGAGGCTCGTTTGCCCGATGAAAGCTTCGGCCAACCTAAGATGCTTTGACGGAAGGTGATGAAGAAGGGAAGCTGGCAGGAGGGCCTCATGACGCGAATGCGAGGTGTTGGAGGCAAGAGATGCGAGATGATGCTAACGTTTACGCACCATTGAGCCAGTTCACCTGTGTTCAGGATCAACAGCAGCTGTGTCCCTGTTCACCCCACCGTGCTTGCATCAGTCAACCGGCAGCCTCGTTGCAACTAAAAGAGCAGCTACCCGCAGCTTTGCATTACTTAGGACTTAGGACTTAGTAGCGGGGCTCTCATTTGCAAGTCCGGTGTGCATGAAGGTCAGCGCGACCGTGAGAGCCAAGAGAACGCTGGCTATTCGTTTCTGTGAAGGCTGCACAGGGGCTGCAAGGAGTCAGTTCAGGCAGTTCTGCCATTGCCACTGCATGCTTCACCAAGCCGCTACAAGCGCAACGCGGATCAATGCGGACATTTCGACCGCAATCCGTAGCAAAAAATCGGCACATGAAGAAGGCTGTACTGCGTCCAAGAATTTACTGGCAGAAGCTGCAGTCGGGTTGTGCTCTGCGCTGCGTTGGGTCCAGCTACCACCAGCCGCTAAAAAAAAATGGTTATAGTGAGCTGCGCAGTGCAGAATATAAAGCCGGAGTAAAGATCATTTGCGCGTCCTGATGACAAGTGCACTTGACAGAGTAGCCGTACCAGAGTAGCCGCGTGCGTTAGCCCATCCAGCTGGCAGGGCACAGGATGCCTCATGGCCCGTAAAAGAGCAAGAGCGGCAGCGAACTACACAGGCTTGGGAGGAAATCTGCAAACCACGGAGGCCAGTATGGCCGGAGGCCACGGCTGTGGCAAATGCAGAGGCCTGCTGGCCGCCATGCCAACACCATCAACACCTTCGGCGAACTCCTGCGGGTGTTGCAGAAGACCCCGAAAGGCAGACCTGTGTCCACATTCCACACTCACCTTGATGGCTATTCGTTTCAATGCAATGCTGAATGATTCTGCTTTCAGGGGTTGTTTTTGCCTTGAGGGCCAAGCCCTGACATACATATCGATACACCAAGCAGCATTACAGCCAGGGGACTGGCCGGCAATTGTACAGGCCCGGTAACAGCAGCAACCTAAGGATGGGCTCTGGCTCAACATGTGGCACCTATTTCCTGCAGTCACCGGAAGCCTTCAACCACGTATCAAGCAGTTTGTAAAGGGTCATTTGTTTCAGTTATGTAGTATTCAAGATCTGCGATTTGCAAAGAAATTCCAGATGCGAGGGGCTAACCCTAGCACTTGTAGGATTTCATAGGCGTTCTTCAGCAGAGTTATCCATGCAGAGAATTTCGTGAACCTGGATATGTGGTCTAGGAGCCAGGCTGAGGTTCGGGTACCTGTGTAACGGGGAATTGTTGGAGGCCGAAACTTGGAAGTTGAGCGCTTGGGTTCCTTAGCTCCATCATGAGCGAAGCAACCTGCCTGTCAGGTGCTCTGTGGTCAATACTGCAAGAAAGTGCTCTTAAACGGCATGTGCAGAGCGCAAAGGAGATGGGAATGGTTATGTCCACAGTCAGCAAAAAGAGGCTTTGGCAGGTAGCCTTGGAGCTGATCCCGCATTTCAAAGAGAGCAGCGTTGAGGCTGATGTGATTGCATACAATGTTGGGATTTCTTCGTGCGAGCGTGCGCAATCTTGGAGCAAGGCCGTAGAACTCCTGCAGGTCATGAACGAGCAAGGCTTAGCGCCGGACGAAGTCACCTTCAACACGTTGATGGCAGCTTGTGGCAAATTGTGGGCCTCTGCACTGAGCTTCCTGGAAGGTGCAACCGTCACGCCTGGACTGTCTGCCAGCACATACACATTTAACTCCTGCCTTGGGGCGTGCGAACGCTGCTGGCAGTGGAGGGTGGCAGGGAGTCTTTTCGATGAGATGGGGATCGGCAGCGTGGAGCCCGATGTCTATTCTTTCACCTCAGCCATCAACGCTTGCCGTGGCAAAGCTTGGTCGTGGTTGGCTGCCTGTGAGTTTCTTGAAAAGATGACAGCGCAGACGGCTGTCCCGAATGAGATCACATATAGTTCACTTATGCAAGCTTGTTCTGCAGGTAGCTTGCCTGCATCATCAGGTCAAATTTGGTCCGGTGGGATCACTCAGGTCTAGTTTGGTCCGGTGGGATCACCTTGCTTCAGCTAATTATACTGTGTGCGATGGGTCAAGCACTTGCATGGCTACTAGTCGCTGGTATCCATGTGGTTACGTTGCCTGCTCGCCCGCTGTGCCCTGCAATGGCTTCCTGCTAATTGACTTTGGTACGTTCTCCATGCATTCTGCTTTTTCGGTACACTTTTTGTTCCCGTCTTGTCCTGTCCACCGATGTGATGGGCTGCGAGGGTGGGTATGGCCCGCTTCATCCTTCTTCCTCATAAGGTGTTCTTGGCCATTGCCTTTCTTCCCTGCTTCGCAGATGGCCTGTTGTGTGTGGGCGCTTTTCTGGGCAGTGAGCTGCCCAAACAGACCAGGCCTGGGACACAGCCAAGGCAGAAGTGGCTTGCGATGGTCTTGTTTCGTCGTGTTAGTTCGCAAACCTATTTCGTGTGTCACTGAGTATGCCACAATGCGTGGGCCTCAAGCAGGATGCTTGCAATCAAGTGCACAACTGAGGCAGCCAATGGCAATACGCCCTGCACTGCTTCAACGTAATGCAGGCGCAGTCTGTTGCACCGGGTGCCATCACCTACAACATTGCCATCCGTGCATGTGCTGACGGCGCTAGATGGGAGCGGGAAGCTCAGCATGGCTGTTATGCCAGAATTTGTGGGCTCGCCTGACCTGAGAGATCTTGAGGGCCCCCCCGTATGTGGTTCAAAGAAGTTTCTGGTGGTCAGCTTGCACTTAAGTCGAGGACGTGAAGCTTGATTCTACGTTTGATGCATGCACCCTTCTACCACACACCAAAGATACAAGGAACTTGTGCGGCAAGTTATGACTTTGGCGGAAGCCTATTAGACCCCCTACTGTTTTAAACTCCAGTGAAGTAGAAAGCCCGGCAGCTCAGAGTCCACATGCAAAAGCAGGCCAACGAATGGACTTCTGGCAGTTTGCAGAACACCTGAACTCTCCAACCGCCACAGCTTTGCTCACAGTATGTCTTCTTCTGTCCGGTTCCTGCACGAGGCTGGCGGTGCAATTCTTCCACGAGTTGCAGATCAAGTGCAGGCAAGCATTAGCATGCAGCATCCAATTTTGCTACTCAGCCGCACCTGGTTCAGGCCAGGAGCCGATAGCTATGCAGCCTTGCTCGCAGCGCTGGAGGCATCATCAATGTGGGCCTCTGCCTCAGCTGAGCATCTTAAGGCAGCATGCCCAAAGCAAGCCAAGTTTGTATTGGTCAGATGGTGCCCGGATTGTTTGTGCTGGTCTACATTCGTCGATCCAGCATGATCCAGCGCTGTGGTCATTGTTGCTGTGTGGCTTGAGAAGAACTTAGTAAATTTGGAATTGAAAACCCCAGGTGCAGAAACAAATGAATGCCCATCACACCTGCTTTGCGAAAACATTTCAGAGCAAGCTTCCGTTGCAAGCCTCGCCTCTCAAGGCACTTTTCTCTCATTCTCTCGAGATAGGATTTGTGCTAATAAGCTCAAAGGGTGAGCGGTTGTTCCCCGATGCAAGTGAATGATGGTCAGCAAAGTTGCTGAGCGGCAAGGCTCGGCAGGAAATCGAGCGCAGTGCCGAGCAGGGAGGGCAAGAAGGACAGAGTCCATTGAACTGACAACATCAGATGGAGCCAAAGACGCTTGCTTATCAGCCCTTCTCTGGTGACATCGCTCATTTCCATTGCTCCAGATTAGCAGGCTGCAAGCGCTGCAGTAGCAGGCGCGAGGCTGCAAAAGCCAGACTTGGACGATCTCCGCGTAAGGTGGATGCTCGAGTCGCAACCCTGTCACCAGGCCCCTGCGGACGAGCACTGCCTCGTCCTGTTTCTCCACCAGCCTATGTTCCATGTCCAGCTAGCACCACATCTCTTGACAGTTCCGAGACATGCGAGATGATCACAGATCTCCTGGAAGAGTTCACTGAGCGAATACAGAGCTTCTTTTTAGCTCTGATGGGGTTCAACCATCCTCACATCGAGCGGTTGCAAGCGGCACTGGATCAGCAGGTCAAAGCGCTGGGCCAAGGGCTAATGAAGGCCATGGAATTGAAGGATGCCTTCTGGACTTTGAGACGGGCAGTCAGCGAAAGCCAATGGTGGAACAAGCTCAAGAAGTGTCGCGAAAGCTTGCTTGATTGATGCTAGCCTGCAAGTTCTTCTGGGTTATGGCATCCGCTCGTTCATGTTTTTCTGTAAAGTGCAAATGAGGTCAGCGACAATCGAAAGAGCGCGCCACCATGGCCGCTGAGGATCGGCTGAACCTTTTTGTTTGGAATTCCATTCCTCCCGTTCCTCGGTGCTCAGGAGGCCTCCAAGCGACAGGAAGCGCTGGAGGTTTCTGCGATGGCAAGGCAGCAGGCAGCCAGGGCACATGCCGTGGCAGCCAAGCAGGTCAACTCAGGTCCAGAGGCAAGGATTGTGAGAACACCCATTCGTGAATGAAACGCTTGAGTGAAGCATTTCCTGTAGATCAAATGGGACCCCTGAAGGCCGCTGTGGTGGCATCAAGGCTGCAAAGCAATCTTTTGAATATGTGTGGCCCATGATCTGGGAATCTTAGCATCAGCAGTGTAGCACCTCCAAGGTTTGCTTTGGTCGCTGGAGCAAGCTTGCAGAGCTGAGACAGTCGAGGACGCTGATGGCGGCCTTTGCACAGGGCCGGCATGTCCGAGCATCATCGGCGGCTAGGAGTTGGATAGCGCATGTTGACGCTGGATGAGTCAATGACTTGAAAATCATGGCTTACCTAGGCGAGCCTGCTGCAGTCTGTTTTCCTGCATTGGCAGCAAGCATCAAGCAGCAGCGCGCGCGAGCGGGCCCTTGGGGCTGAGAGCAAGGCAGCAGTGAAAGCTGCGGCTGTCCAAGTGCAGAGGGCCAAAGCTGCTCTACAAACCGTGCCCTGGCCTTGACGTCAAGTTTGCTTTATTGTTTGAAATGACCAAGACATACTACCTGCGACAGGTTATCAGCGCAACGGACAGGCAGACACTGTCAACCGTTTGGAAGTGCCTTGGAGGTTGGCAGGTTCTGACGTTGAGGCCTGGCAGCCGGGCATGGATGTGGCTGACACTTACAATCCTTGCAGCAGCGAGCAAAGTTCTGAGCATGACAGCCTTCCGACACAACAACTCAAAATGCGGTTTGTATGCCAAGTAACACTTGACAAACGTCTGCTACCGCTGCATAGCTCGAAGCCTGCCTGGAGCTTGTCTACAGACCAGTTGCGCGCAGGTCGTGCCAACGTCGGTGGAAAGAACGGGCTGTGGCAACTGATCCCTGCCTGCAGCAGAACAGTTTGCATGAAGCACTGAAATTACACCACATCGGATTGGATGTTCTCCGATTGGTGTAAGGGCGCAACATGGCTGGGCTTGACTTTGAAGAGAGCACATAAGGAGCTGGTCGTTCATCAGGAGGGCGCGCTGCGCCAGCGGCTAATGCACGCACTGGGCCGCACTGGGCTCAGTTGCGAAGCAACTGATGTTTGAAGCTTGGAGCAGATGCCATCGTATCCAGATGTATCCAGTGGTCCAGGTAGATGCGGCGAGGGTAACGTGCAGAACATCATGAAGGCAGGATGCATGCATGAAGGAATCTTTCACAGACTTCTATGCCCTGATGTCCTTGAGAAACTCTGGTCAACATCAGCAGGGACAGACGCGAACTTGCGTCAAACATCAAACGAGATCGACCAAGAACACAGCGCGCGGGCCGTAGGGTAAGTATGCGGCCACTTGCCATTAAGGTGCTTCTCACCTTTGTTGGAAGCATCCACCATGCTCGCAGCTGAAGCTCTTTGCTCTCTCTCTCTCTCTCTCTCGCTCTCGCTCGTTGGCGTCCTCATTTCTGGGGAACAAAAGAGAGCAGAGACATCAAATTTAAGAAATAACGGTGGATCGTGCGTGCGTGCGTGCGTGGGTGTGTGTCTGTGTGTGGAAAGCTGTGTAGTCAGTCCATTATGCTTTCCCAGCAAGTATTATCGTCAGAGTAGAGGAGTTGTGGCGCTCCTCGCCGCTCCGCAAAGGCGACTGGCTCGTCAGTCCTACATTTTTATATCGGTGCAAGGAAGGACCACCTGCAGAGGAAGATGGTCAGAGGTGGAGAGATGCGGAGAGAGAGAGCGAGAGAGAGAGAGAGAGAGAGAGAGAGCTGGCACTCGCACGGCCAGTAGAAGAAGAAGGAAAAGAAGAAGAGAGAGATAGCGCCTTCTTCTCTTTTGCCTGACCCCTCAAAAGAGAAGAGGGGGACACGCAAATGGACGAGGAGCAAGCAGGAGTAGAAGAAGAAGATACGCAAGGAGACGACAAACCAACACAGTTGCCTGGCCCCGCACGCAAGCACGATATAGAGCAGCACACCAACAACACCATCAGCGAAGAGCAAGGCAATGGGGTGAAACGGAGTGGAGAGCACCAATAGAGGAAGAAGAAGCGAGCTTCCAAGAATACGAAGAAATACTCCAAGAACAAGAAGACATGGATCGCGACCACCATGAATACACTCATATGCTGATATGGGAAGACTGGATTGGTGGGCACTCCAAGCAGAAAGAGAGGCAGAACAGTCACAAGGTATAGACAGAGACGAGGAGGAGACGAGGAGGCCAGAAAGGAGGAAGAGAAGAGGAAGTACCGAGGACACGAATGTCTACCAGAAGGAAAGCGTCGGGGGAAACAGAAATCGCAGACGGTACGATTAGGGAGTACCAGAATAACAAAAAGAATCGAAAGCACATTGAGGGCAGTGGAGGCCGACACTCCACAGAAGCCTCCGCAAAACATGGAAAACCTAGGTATGGGATCGGTACAAACAAAACCGCGGAATGGAGGCTTCAAATTCAAGCCGGCAAAGGGTACAATACCTACCAACGCTGAATTCCATTTTAGAGCCACTGGGCGTTAAAAGAAGTCCTCGAGAAAAGAAAGGCCAAAAAGAGAGGCTAGCAACACCAGCGGGGACAGCGTGCCCAAACTAACACGAGTTAAGCTGTCTGCCACAGTTTCCCCAGCGAACAGCGAGCCAGGTAGGAAGGAACACATTAGGACAAGACCCTGTGATAGGGACAACGTGAAGAGTGGGGGAAGATTTATTGTTGTAGTATTGCAGTGCGCACCTTGATGTTTGTGTACCTCTGCTGTCTGTACTGAATGGTACTGCAAGCGGTTGGAAAATCCTGCTGAAATACCCCTGCCGATACAAAGGTTTCACCACCATTTCCGAATGTCAGGGGAAAGGAACAAGTGAGCTTTAAGTCTAACTGCCGGTAACCCAATTGTGGATAGGAGGACCCTGACAAACAGTAACCTGCTGACCGCCACGTTTCACCTTCCTTTGATTTGGCATCAATCCATATGGCGCTCAATGAGAAATCAAGGGGAGGCTGTGGAAACTTCACCCCAAACCGAGTACAGACCTTGCCAGTAGAGCAGGGAACGGAAGAGGGGAAAAGTTTCCTCACCCGATTGAGTAGGGAAGAAGCTCATTGCCGGGGGAGCATGAATGACGTGTGGAAGATGTAATGTTAATGTCTCTTGTTGTTATGCTCGAACAGTCGGCGGGCTGGGGGCCTAGCCCCCGCGGGGCCTCATAGCCTATAGAAGGAAAAGGTAATGCACCGTCTGAGGGTTGTTGGAGTAAGCTGGCTGATGCATGTAGCTCAGGAGTGTGAAGTTACTAAGCCCCTCTGAATTGAAAACCTCGACTTAAATCAGGCAACTTTTGGGGAAGGACGAGCTGATAACGCACGGAATGCCCTGAGAGTGGCAGACCGCGAATCAGCCGCTAGAACAGGAAACTTGGAGCTGGGATCGGCTTATGTGGGAGGGACAACGACGCTGGTCGGGCGAAGAGGACGCGTTGGAACTGTTAGCTTACAATTGCCGGGTCAGTTGGGCTTGCATAGGCATGGGCTTCATTCTTTTGACTTCAGGCAGCGGGGAAGGCAGACGTATTCAAATACAGCGCTAGCGCTGGTTAAGAAAATACCTTTATGGGCCCAGAGTAGTCTCGTTTTCTTATTTTAGAAGCGCATGTAGCTTTGCGCTATTTAGAGTTCCACGGCAGTCAGAGTAGTCTGGTTTTCTTAAGTGAGTTTTTTTAAGGTGACCTTGGGTCCGAAATCCTACTGAATAAGAAAATATTTTCTTATTCAGTAGGGCTTTGGCCCAGGAGGCCTGGCAGGCCTGGGGGCCTTGGAAGGTGCTGGGAGGCTCTGGAGATCACCCCGTGAG